TCCTCCCTCAGACCCAGGGGTCCAGCCCGAAGCCCACCGTACCCCCGATCCTCTTTAGCGTCCACGCCCAGGGCTGCATGGTGCGCAAGCCTTCCCGCACCTTCTCCTTGGACCTCCGAAGCAGCAGAGCCCAGTGGGCCGTTCTGGACCCTGAGCCCTGAGCCACCTGGTCCCTGGCATGCCTCTGCCTGGGAGGAAAACAGAGTCAGAGACAGAAAAGGAGGGGCCTAGTGGCCCCTAAATGGAAACCACCCAGATGTAGAAACCACCCAATCGTTGGACCAGGAAGTAAATTGCAGTAGATTCCTAACACGGAATACTCCATAGCAATAAAACACACACACACCCCTAATGTTCAGCATAGGAAGACAGGCAGAAAATACAGACTGCACGGTTCTATCTACACAGAGGCCCAGAGCAAGCAGGGTTCAACTCCACTCTTTAGGGGTGCGCACACAGGTGGCAAAGCTATAAAGAAAATCAAGAACGTGATCCTCTGTGAAAGCCTGGGAAGGAGTTACTGTGGGGAGAAAGGGCGGTGCCAGGCGAGGGGCTGGTGGGGTGACCTAGGTGGAGTTTACCTGGACCCTCACTCTGGAAATACTCTTTTAAGTCTGTACATGATGTTTCATGCAGTTTTCTGACAGCAAATATCATAAAGTTAAAAAACAAAACAAAACAAGGGAGAGGGTATAGCTCAAGTGGTAGAACACATGCTTAGCATGCACGAGGTTCTGGGTTCAATCCCCAGTAACTCCACTGAAAAACTAAATAAAGGAAGAAACCTAATTTCCTCCCCCATGCAAAAAAAAAAAGGGTAGGTGCGATATTGTGATATATACTAAGAAATATATATTTAGTACTGTATGATATCACTTATCTGCAGAATCTAAAAAAAAACTCAAAAAGAATGAAATAATGCCATTTGCAGCAACATGGACAGACCTAGAGACTACCATCTAAGTAGAGAAAGATAAAGGTCATATGATATCACTTATATCTAGAATTAAAAAATACAAATGAACTTATTTACAAACCAGAAATAGACTCACAGACATAAAAACCATCTATTGTTACCAAAAGGGGGGGGATGGATAAATTAGGAGTCTGGGATTAACATATACACACTACTATATATAAAATAGATAGACAACAAGGTCCCACTGGATAGCCCAGGGAACTATGTTCCGTAGCTTGTAATAATCTATAATGGAAAAGAGTCTGGAAAAGTATACATATATCTGAATCACTATGTTGTACACCTGAAACTAATATAACATTGTAAATTAACTATACTTCAATCTAAAAAAATGGTTACCAGGGGCTGCGGTGGGTTAGGGACATGGAGAAGAAAGCATAGAAACTTCCAATTACTAGATGAATACATTCTGGAGATCTAGTGTACAGCATGGTGATGAGAGCTCATAATACTTGAAGGCGGAAGGTTGAAGGTTGCTAAGAGAGTAGATCTTAGATGTTTTCACCACAAAAAGAAGTGGCAACTATGTGACATGGTGGTGTTAGCTGGCACTACTGTGGTAATCATTTTGCAATTTGTAAGTGTAGCAAATCAGCACATTGTACACCTTAAGCTTCATGATGCTATGTGTCAACCATATCCAAATAAAGCCAGAAAAAATAAAAATTAAATACATATGTAGTGTTCCAGTATCCGGCACACAGCTCCTAAACCCTTGAATTTCCTAAGTGGTGAGTGTGATAAAGGTGTCTTTTTTATGTTAATGAGGTTATTTTGAGAAAGCACCTAAGGATGGGGGCGGGTAGGGGGGGTGGAGGCTGATAGCCAGAGGAGCCAACTGTGTGATTAGAGGGTTGGCGCTTTCAGTGCCACATGCTGATCTCCAGGGAGGGGCGAGGGGCTGGAGGTTGAATTAACTGTTAAAGGCTCAAGGTCCTGGGTTCAATCCCCAGTACCTCCATTTATAAATAAATAAAGCTAATTACCTCCCCCCCAAAAAGAAAAATGCATAATAATTGTTGAATAAGGACCCAGCATTTTCACCTTCCACTGGGTCCTGCAAATTATGTAGAGGGGCAGAGGAAAGAAAGAGCGATAGGCTTTGAAGAGGAGGCAGGGACGGAGACAGACATAACAGAGAAGAAAAAACTAAAAGATTGCAGACTCCCAGAGAGAAACAGCGAGAGGCCGACACAGGAGGGAAAGAAGACACAAGCGACTAGAACCTGGGAGACAGAAAAGAATGAATCCTGGAAACAGGACTCCTTGGAGTCAGAGAAACACAAATACATATGGGGGTAAAGAAACCCGGAGAGGCAGCTCTGAGTGAGGCAGAAATAGACAGGACAGAGTCTGAGACGTAGACAGAGCCGCCAGCAAGTGGGACGACGGCCCACACCTGGCTGGGACGTGGGAGGCGGGACTCACCGGTGCGCCCGTCTGGCCTGCATGGGCCAGGGCAGCTCCCGGGAAGGGCAAGGCTCCTGCATTTCCTTTGGTGCGGATTCTGCGAAGGCCTGAATGCTCCTCTGTCTGTCCTCCTTCTCCTCCAGGGCCCCCCAGGGCAGCACCCCAGGGCCTCGGAACCGGAGGGTGGCAGCACTGGGGAGCTCATTCAGCACAGAGGACAGCGATGGGCCTGGGGTAGGCAGAGGGCTGGGAGGGCCCGGGCCTCCCCAGCCCCTCCTCCCTCAGACCCAGGGGTCCAAGCCCATAGTCCTCCTCCCCCAGATCTGGGAGTTTAAAACCCCCAGTCCCAGACCCCACCCCACCCCACCAGCCCTGCCAAGCACCCAAATGCGGACCCTCCAAGCCCTTCCGATCCCAGGGCTGAGGAATCCACTCAACTTCCTTTTCTCTCGAATTCAGGAGTTTGTGACCCTGGCCCCTCCCTTTCCTCAGATATCCCAGCCCCTAGCCCTCTCCTCCTCCAAGAAAGACTCTGGGTCTCCAGACTCCTCCCAGGACTCAGGGGTCCCAGCCTCTTGTTCCCTCTCCCCCAGAGCCGAGGCCCCTCCCCTTTCTGCCCTCCAGACCCAGGAGTCAGACCTCCATTCTCCGCATCCCCCAGGGCTTCTGCTAACTAGAGGGGTTGGACCTGACCTTCCTCTGGCTCCCCTACCTGTTCTGGCCTCCCGGGGCGCTGGCCAACCCCCAGAGGAGCCCCAGGGCTCCGGTTCCCACGCTGGACTGTCTTCCATGGCCCCGGGTGCGTTTATGTTTCCGTCTCAGGCTGAGCAGGGACTGCCACAGGTGAGGGAGGGGCCGGGGGCAGGTCTGTACCTGGCCGACAGGTGGCCCGGAGGACAAACCCAGCACTTCCCAGAAACAGATAAGGCTGCTGCTCCGAAAGGTCTCCTGGGAACTGAAGTCCACAGATGCCCGCGTGGCTCTGGGGAGCTGGGCGGGAGCCCATCACACCAGGATTCGGTGGTCCAAGTCCCAACACTGGCTGGTCACCCAGACACCCCCACAGACGGAGTCTTTGTGCAACAATTTATTGGGAGAGATTTACACATTCCAAGCCTGTGTTAGGCCAAAGGATGACAAGAGGGTGACAGGAGCACTGGGACCTTGAGATGGCTCAGATGGAAGCTACAAGAGCCGCTGGACCAAAGGCCTGCACATTTGTACCTCGGTTTCCCCTTTCCAGGAGGGTTACATTCCACACTGGTCTCATGAGACAAAGGAGAGAGAAAGCTACCAGAAAGAGGGCGTTCCCCACAACCCTCAGCGTCTGCTCTGAAGCTCAGATCCCCACACCGTGGATCCCAAGAAAGGTAATTTTTGCCCAAGAAACCATGTCACCCACAGGCTCCTGCTGTGGGCGGTGAAGTGCAAGTCTCTGAACACCTGGAGCTGGGCAGGGACAAAGGGAGATTCTGTCTGGATATCTTGATTTTACAGAAGGGGAAATGACCTTCTGTAACCCTCAGGGCAGAGGGCGGGGAAGCAAGAGAGCCCCAGCCTTGCTCTGTCACAGGCAGGGTACTGAGCTGGGGAAGTGGGAGTCCTCTCCAGGCCCCTTGCCAAATCAAGGGCTCTCTCTGGGACGGGAGACAGCAGCCCGGTTCACAGAACCCCCAGGCAAAAGCCTGGTGGGTGGACCAACCGGCAGAGAAGGTGTGGTGCCAGCTTACTCCTCCCGAAGCTTTCCTGGGGGAAGGCTGGCAGCTGGGGACGAGGTCTTCCGCCGGCTGGGGCTCCCCCCACCTAAAGCCAGCCCCAGCCCCAGGGCCAGCAGGGCCAGGACGTGGATGCAGAAGTAGACGGAGGCCCAGTACCGGAGGGTGTCGCCCAGGGAAAGCAGCACGAAGCCCATGCACATGTAGTCGTAGGCCCGCATCTTCAGGAACCAATGCGCCCAGTCCCAGAGCTCCCGGCCCCTGGGGCTGAGCCGCCCCCGGAGGGCCGACTCCAACCGGCCCTCCGCTGCCAGGCACAGCGGGATGGTCAGGAAGCTCAGGTAGTAGCCAGGGTGCAGGCCGTGCCAGTAGGCGCTCAGTAGCATGGTCCAGGCGCTCCTGGGGGAGGGGCGGGGAATCAGGACCCAGAGTCCAGGCCCCCAGCCCCTCCTCCCTCTAACCTGGGGGGTCCGGACCCCCAGATCCTCTTCCCCCAGACCCAGGAGTCCAGGCCCCCAGCCCCTCTTCCCTCAGACCCAGGCATCTCTCCTCGCTTCTCAGAAATCCCTTCCCAACACTCTTTTCCCTCAGGACCCAGTAATTGAGTCCCCAGCCAGTTCCCCTGTGAGGATCCAGGATTATAATTCCTGATCCATGAAGACTCAGAAATCTCCAGCCATGGCCCCTTCTCCTTAGGGACTCCAAAATGCTGTCCCCTGCAGACTCATAGGTTCAGGCTCTGACCCGCACTTCCGCGGAGGACACAGAATCCACAGCAATCCCAGCGACCCGGGGCCTGGGTCCACGCCCGTCGGGATCAAGTCCTCCCTCTGGCACCTCAGGGTGCTTAAAATGCAAAGACAACCTAATGGCAGAATAAGGCTGCCCACCCTGTCCTGCAGGGCTGTGAAAGGCTGGCAATAAGAGGCTGACACTTCCCTGCTGCCAGCAGGGGAGATCTTTTCCTCCTCTTTCCTTAGGCCATTTCCTTGAAAAGCCTAGTGTCTGAGCACCTTTCCTGTGTCCTTTGGATACAGATGTAAATCTTTGAAAAGGTGGAGGAGGCCTCTAGAAAGCCATACAACCCAGGGATGTTTTCTCCAGGGCCTGGGAGCCACCTCTTTGAAGCACAGATGTGGAAGGAGATGGAGCCCATCTCCCGGCCGTGGGGGTTCTGCCAGGTGCCAGCTCCCAGCTGTAAACACCTGCACGCCACAGAGGTCGTTTCATTCTTCTTCAGATAAAGACACTTAACTAACACAGATGGCTACCCCAATTACCCATGAGCTCGGGATGAACACGAAAGGACGCAGAGCGCCGGGGAGTCCTCCGACGTGAGGACACATCATGGTGTCTCTGAGCACACACTACATAAAAGGACTGTAAGTGACGGTGGGTGCTACAAAAAGGGGGAGATTTCTTTCCATCTTGGTAATCTCCTCCACGGATGACTTGCGCTGTGCATCGAAATCTGGTTTAATGTTTATGCAAGAACAAAACCGCTTTCTTTCTTTTCTGCCTACGGCAGAGAGAGAATTCTCTGGGTTGGCCGAATGTAAAGAAATTGACAGTAGGACACGCATCTGTGCAACCCCGGCGTTTAACTCAGCCTGTGCGCAGCTGAGCTCTTGGCCGCTCCCCCATCCGACCTGCCTCTCTCCGGCCTCCTCTTCTCCCATTTCGCCCTCCCCACCCACCATGCAGTGAACACTCTCCAAAGAATCGGCTATGCTCCCCTGTTCCATTCTCTTGAGCCCCGTTCAAACCCTCCAAACTGCTTCCGTCAAGCTGCCGGGGACTTCCTCCCATCACACCCAACCCAGTGGTCACACCTGCCCTCACTGCATCGAAGCTCCAGGCACCGGCTGACACAAATGACCCTTCCATCGCTCCTCCCTGAAACGCTTGGTTCTCTGAGCTTCCTTCTGGGAATGAACACTGCTGATTGTCCTGCAATCTCACTGGCTGCGTCTTTGCTGGCTCCCTCTCCTTGTTCCTCGTCTACACCAGGGTTTCTCAATCTGGATACTACTGACACCTAGGGCTGGATCATTCTTTGGTGGTAATGGTTCGGGGGGACTGTCCTGCACATCATAGGATGTTTAGGAGCCTCCTCCGCCCTCTGGACACCAGTAGCACCTCCCCATTATGACAAAAGTGTCACCAGACATTGCCAAATGCCCTCAGGGGTACAGCATAGTTGAGAATCCCTGATCTAAACACTGGAGCGCTCTGTGCTTTGACCTGAGGCTCAGCTTTAAGTATCATCAACACCTGCTGATGCTCAAGGGTCCACCTCTTCCACCAACGCTTCCAGAACGCACCGTTAACTACCTGCCTATCCAATCACCCCAGCTGGAAATCTAAGTCACCTCAGAGTCGGTGAGACTCAACCCAAGTCTAGCTTCCTCATCCTACCCACTCCTGAAACTTCCCCCTGCCCCATCCTCCCTTTCTCAGGAAATGGCCCTACTATGTGCCCTCACCTGGGCATCACGCTCCACTTCCTTTCTCATGCCCCACATCCAGGTTGGGCCAAACCCTGACTCCACCTCCCAAATGCATCCTCTTCGAGACCACTGGCCCCTACTCCAGGACTCCATCATGGCCCACTGGCCGGCCCTGCTTTCTCTCTGCTCCCTCTCCCTGCCTCTATTCCATTCCCCACGCAAGGCTGGAACGGACCTTTAAATCATAAGTCAGATCCCACGCCCAGGGAAGCCAAGCCCCAGAGGTGAAATTATTAATTGCGTCATTATGAGAACTGTTCATGGTGTATCCTGACCTCATCTGGCTCCCTCTCCTTGTTCTTGGGGAAGGCTGAGTGACACTTGGCAGGCTGCCTAACCTCTCTGAACCTGGTTCTCTTCATCTTTAAAACGGGGATAAGAGCTCCTGCTTACTAAGGTTGTAAAGATAAGTTTGGCAGAAAGTCTCTACTCAAGAAATATTGGATGCGGAGGAGGGTGTAGCTCAGTGGCAGAGCGCATGCTCAGCACGCATGAGGTCCTGGGTTCCGTCTCAGTACCTCCATTAAAATAAATAATAATAACGCCGAATTACCGTCCCCCCAAATACTGGAGGAGTGAAGGATAATAAAAGCTAATGTACAGCGAGCACTCACCTCTCAGGCCTACTTTATCTCAATTACTCCTCGTATCGACCTATGAAACAGGTTAACAGTATCACCCCCACTTAAGAGCTGAGGGAACAGAGGTCAACTGACTCCTCAACGATTCCTGGTAAATGGCAGGGTCAAGGAAGTCTAACTACTGAGTCCACAGGGCTCAGTACACTGCTCCTGCGGAACAAGGCTGGCTTTACAGAAGTTGAAACCGAGGCCCAAGAGGAACAATTTACCCCAGAGTGAGGCAAATCGGAGCCAGCGCAACAGGCCCTAGAAACTACAACTCCCATGATCCTCAGAGGGGGCGGGTGTGGCAGTCCAGCTGGGGAAGCCGCCGGCAGCTCCAGGGGCAGCTGGGGGGAGTACTTCGTGCTGTCCTCTGAGACAGGCGGGCTCACCTGAAGACGTAGGAGCGGGCAGGCGCGTTCTTGTAGATGTACTGCGCCAGCCACCACTGCACCGTCATGTTCCAGTACCGCATGCCATCGCGCACACGCACGCAGAAGTCTGTGTTGTAGCAATCGATGTTGCGGATGGTCTCATAGTCGTACTCCAGGGAAGCCGCCTTCTCCGGACTGAGGGGTGGAGGATGAAGGTGGGGACAGACACGCAGCTCAGCCAGGCCCCCTCCTGACGCTGGCTACTGTCCCAGCCCCCGATGCTAAAGAGGGGATCCTGTCCAGGCAACAGCTTTCTAGCCATCACCTTTGCTAGGGCAACAGGGGAGGATAGCCCAGAGGGAGCATTTTTGGGGAGGAAGTGCACAATTCATCAACAACATGGTTCTCCTTCTCCTGGCAAGGGGGCCTGCAACAGCCAGGAAGTCTGGAAGCACTACGGTTGCTAAGCTACGGGTCCTGAGCAACCTGACCCACCATGATCATGGTCTCAGGTGCTAGGGAAAGGCCGTTCCTTAGCAACCAAGCTCAGTATATTCAAAAAAGCCTCCAAGTAGTCCTTTCCAAGTTGCGGGATGCCTTGGTTGTTAGGCAAGTAGCATCCGTAACAAGGTGGTCTGCGGTTGCTAGGAAGGTATTCTAGGTCCTCTTGACACCACGACGTCTCTGCTGCTAGGGAAAGGGCATTCCTTAGAAACAAGGCCTAGGATGTTTAGAAAAGCTTCCCGGACCTTTCCTGGCTTTTAGTCCCTATGATTGTTCTAGAACTGTCATCTCCAGCAATACAGTGGTTCCTGGGCCAATGGTGCCAACACTCCCAGCACAGGGGGACATCCTTGGCCCACCTGAACCATTGGCAGCTTCTGATAATGGAAGAGGGCGTATCCATTAGGAGGTTTAGACAAGCCTTCAATTTCTGCTTGATGTCTTTTGGGGGAACGCCCTCTGGCAACTGGAGGTCTGCCTACGGTTACTATGGCAATGGCAAAAACTCTGCATGGGAGTGCCACTTCCCCGACGACAGAATGGCAGTTCATGACTGCTAGGGAATGGCCCAACCCTAGCAAAGAGTAGTTCATTACTTACAACAAAGGGTTACTTTCCCAGCCCCTGCCTGAAGGCTGACCATGGTTACTAGGAACAGAGGGACAGTCCATCCCTGGTTGCTACGGGCACATTTCCCTAGCAGCACAGGAGCAACATATCCTCAACGACAAGGAGCCCATAGTTACTAGCAGTGTGATTTACCTAGTGATGAAGGAGCTGGGGGGTGGCTTTACCAGCAATGTCAATCCATAGCTACCGGGGGGTTTCCTGGGCAACAGGAGGAATGCAACCTACAGTTGCTAGGAACGGTGTCCCCTCTGCTAGAGGACAGCATGGTCAAAGATGCCATTTCCTTAGAAACAGAGGGCAACAGCAAGCTGTTATGTGATGACATCGCATGGGGAGGGCCTGCAGGTCCCCAGCAACAAAGGGGCAGTTTAGGGGGTGCTGTTTCTACAGCAATAAAGAGCAGCCTCTTGGCAGGAAAGGGCAGCCCTGCTGCTAGGGAATGGTTTCCCTAGCAACAAAGGGCTCCTCATCACTGCCCAAGGACCCTATCCAGAGCAACCAGGAACAACTGGGTTATTGGGGGTGAAACTTCGTTGGCAACGCCTTCCTTTTCCTGGCAACAGAGAGCAATTCACCATTCCAGGGGGTGACAAGCGGTGGCAACAAGGGGTAAACTGTAGGTATCAGGACTATAGTTCCCCTGGGACAGGGGATGGCGGGCTGTGGTGGCCCAAGGGCGACGCTCTGCTGACCACAGGTGGTGGACCTGCCCCCCCTGCTCCCCGTTATCCTCCCTGCTAGGGGCAGGGCCAGCCCGTGGTGATGGGGCCTGCCAGGTCTTGCGACACCTCCCTCCCGCCGCCTGACCTGCTGGGGGGTGGGCATTGGAGGGTGGGGCCGCCCCCGGCCCGGGCTTTGGCGGCCACGGGGTAGGCCCCGAAGCCGGCGGCAATACAGCCGCACTCGGCGGCAATCCAGGCCACGTAGAAGCGCATGCGGAAGGCGAAGAAGACGGGGATCATGTAGAAGAGGCGGGCGGGCAGCGGGCGGGCGTAGAAGGCGTCCTCGCGCACGGCCTCCAGCGGGAAGAGGTGGGAGGACAGCAGGAAGAGCAGGCCGAAGAGCGGGGCCGGCCAGGCTCGGCGCAGCATGGGCCGCAGGCTGGGCACGGCCCCCGGGAAGGGCTGCTCCAGCCAGTCCAGGTAGGTGCGGTAGCGGAAGAACGGGCCTGTGGGGAGGCGCGGGAGGCTGGTCAGGGATGCGTACACGTGGTGGGGGCTGGTGGGGGTGGGGGGCAGAGCTGAGTCTGGGGGGGATGGGGTGGGGGAGACCAGCCAGAGCTTCGGGAGCTGAGGTGGGCCGAGGGAGAGAGAGAAGCGGGTGGGGGGGGCGGGGGCGCGGCGGGGGGCTATGAAACCCAGACAGAGAGGGACAAGGAACCAGAGAAAGGGGAGGACAAGGGACTCAGCAGGAAAGAAAGAGGGGCACTGGCCGCAGGAATGAGAGGGGACTGAGACACAGACAGATGGAGACAGACAGACAGGCCAGACCTCGAGGGACCGGGGGTGACCTGGGTATAAAGTAGTAACGGAAGTGGAGCGATGCCTCTGGAGGAGAAGGGAGCGGTGTGAGAAGAAATCACGGTGGCAGGGGCTGGACCCCCGGGATCGGAGGAGCGCTTTGGATTTTGTTCTGAGCGCTAGGAAACCACTCTAAACTCTTCCACCAGGGATGTGCGGGAATAGCTGCCTTTTCACAAGACCCCTCTGGCGGCTGAGCAGGGGGAGCTGCAGAGGGACAGTGATGGCAAACAGGAAACTGTTGCAGTGTTTTAGAGAAAATGATGGCCTGGCCTGGGGAGGGAGCAGAGGGGATTAACAGAAGAGACAGGTGTTAGAAGTCTTACATGTCACCAAAGACCAGATACTGTATGAATCCATTTGTATGAATCCATTTATAAGTGTTCAGGATAGGCAAATACATAGAGATAGAAAGTGAACTAGTGGTTTCCAGGGAACGGGGACAGACGGAGGGTTGCAAGATGATGGCTAAAGGGCACAGGGTTTCTTCTCAGGGTGATGGAATTACTTGAGAACTACTTGGTGCTGGTGGTTGCACAAGTCTGTGACTATATGAAAACCCAGCAAACTGGTTGTGGTTACAAGTAGGTGAAGACGGCAGTTGTAGCTCAATCCAATTGTTATAAAGAAGAGACCCTTCTGTGAGGCCAACAGCAACAAAACATATTTTCTGAAACTAAAATGGGACCCCAAGCTGTGAACATGTGTTGCCTGGGTGGCAGAAACGTTAAGGTTCTGTAGACCTTTCTCCCTTATCTCCTGTTGACTACAAGGAATCATTTTGGCTGAGAACTACAGTCTGTCTGTAGTCTGGAGGAGCCCTGGGACCTGTGTGAGAGTCAGATGGGGACTTGGGCATAGAGCTTCACCCTCAGAGCAGCAGATGCTGGAATGGAGGGCGGGACCACGGAACGGGTACCAAACTCCGGGCAGAGAATGGAGACAGAGGGTGAGAAGACGTGGAGAGGCAGGCCCGGGGGGCAGGCACACCCACCTGTCATGATGCCCACGTAGCAGTAGCTGTAGCTGAGTGTCTCCATCAGAGAGGGCACATCGGGCAGCAGCCCCAGGCTGGGCCCCTTGCTGAAGCCCGCGGCCATTTCCTTCCTTTGAGCCACGTGCAGGTCCTGAACTTCACTGGCCAGACTCACCAGCTGGGAGGAAGGGGTGCGGTTGGGGGACAGGTCAGAGCCGGGCCTCCTCACACCCACCTCCCTTTCACTACCCTTCTCGGCAGTCAAGGGCTGCTGCATTGTGCAGCTGGGGGCTGAAGCCCTATCCACAGGCAGCTCTGAGCACACTGAGTTGTGAGGAGCTGCGCGTCTGGGTGACTCTCACTGGCGAGTGTCCTGCAGGGCTCTCTCCTGGGTGCCTGTCTCCTTTCTCTATGCTCCGTCTTGCTGCGTTCTCCAGCAGTTGGTGGCTTTAGATACCACCCACACTGTCTCCTGGTCTGGACTTCCCTTCCAAGCCCCAAGGCCCATCATCAAGCTGCCGCTTGTCGTTAATACCTGGATGTCCGCCAGGCACCTCGAATGGAACATATCCGGAGTGGAACACGTACTATCCACTTCCCCAAGTGGGTCCCCTTCTAGTCTCTACTCCCGGCCCCCCTCACAGCAAATGCCACCACCATCCAATTAACTGCTTAGGCTGCAAACCTTCCTTCCTCCCCAGATTGAATCCCTTAAGTCTCCTGAGTCTGTCTCTTTGACCTTGCCTCTACCACTGGGCTGAATATGTTCGGCCTGCCCCTGTGGCTCTGCTCTCTCCCCTTATTGGCCTGCCATCAGCAGGTCTGCGTTCTCCAGCTTCTTCCTGGGTCCAGTCGACAGAGAGCCCCAGGCAGAGACGGAGGAAGGCAGGAGCTAGGAGCTGGCTGTGACCCTTGATGGATCTTCTCAAACTGGGTGGCTCCACACAACTCTTTTTCCTTCCTGGTTCCACTGCCTGCCCCTCCTCTTGTCCCTGTGGGCCCAGGACTCCTGCACTGTCCTTTCTGACTCCTCCCCATCCCGCCCTCCCTGTTGTGCATGAAAACTCCTCAGATTCTCCCCAAACGCCGCATTTCCCGCTGGGGTTTTGACTGACCTGCCCCCGGGCCGGCACTGGGCCACCACTGGCCTGGCCAGCTGGACTCTGATAAAGAAGCCCAATGTCATCCCATCTTGTCCTTCCTGCTTCAATTCACTCAGCATCTGAAGCAAGTATTTTTTTGGTGGGGGGAATTAGGTTTATTTATTTATTTTTAATGGCAGTCTGGAGGGTTGGACCCAGGACCTCGTGCATGCTAAGCACACGCTCTGCCACTGAGCTCTGCACTCTTATCGCTGAGCTAGACCCTCCCCCTCTGTGAAGCAAGTATTTTTAAACATGTAAACCTGGTCACAGTAACTCTTAGGGCAACAGACCAAGAAACCTCCTGTAGTGGCTGTGGGGCCCCCCGTGAAAGAAGTCCGAACGCCTCACCTTGGCCTACAGGGCCCTGCCTGGTTTGGCCCCGCTGCCTGCGCTCTGTGTCGCTCCTGATAAACAGGCCACATGGCCGACCCACGGCGGGTGGGCCTCAGCCTGCTCCCCTCCGCACACGCCGGTCCCTTTGTCCTGACAGGCTCTTCCTGCGCCTCTTCTCTGAGCTAACCCATCCTGGCCTACCCTCGGCTCCCGCCGGGGACACGGGATGCTGGAGAGACCTGCATCATCACCTTGCTGGACCGTTCTGTTCATTGATATCTGTAGCACACAGTAGGAGTGAGAGACTCTGTTCTGAGGGTGACGCCAGGGAATCAGTTTTCACTCATCTTCCCAGGTCACATAGAGCCAGATGTGGTATTGTCCTGGTTTTGCGCCCTCAGAAAGTCCTACCTCCCCAAAGCTGGTTTTTCTCCATTGTAAAATGGCTTGCTACAAAGATGCACTTAGCCCAGATAGTCCTACCTCCCCAAAGCTGGTTTTTCTCCATTGCAAAATGGCTTGCTACAAAGATGCACTTAGCCCAGCCTCTGGCGTACCACAACACCAAGTGGCACCCACAGTTACATAACTTTGGATACTTCTTTACCCCAGGAAAGAGCAGAAAGGTGAAGTCCCACCCACGTCCCCTGGGGTGTGTGGGAGAGACCCTCAGGCTTCCTCTGCCTCCCATGGGAGTGACTGGGAGGATGAGGTAAAGTTGGGGAGGTTAACTGGCACACAGGGAGGGTTGGCAGGACTCTGACCTTCAGTGTCAGCAGCAGCTGGACGGCATTCGTGAAGGGCGTGGGAGTGGGCAGGCCCAGCAGGCTGAGTGCTCGGAAGAAGAGCAGATAGGAGAAGGTCCAGGCTAGGGCCAGGGCGTGGCAGGAGCTGGGCAAAGGCAAGAGGCATGCTCATGCTGTGCTGGGTGCAGGAGATCTTGCCTCTGCCTCTCCTAGATTCCAGCTACAAATCCTCCCCCACCTCCCCACCTTCAGAGACAGACCATGAGAGGAGGGGGAATGGAATGAGCACGACTGAAACAGCCACAGAGAGAAGAGAATGAGGAGGGGGTTAAAAGAGGCTTCCGGGTGAAGACCCTTCAATCCTCATTTTTTCA